TTTCGAACGAAGTTATCCGACGTCAGGTAGGCATGGCGCCGGTGGAAGATAAATTGCGGGAAGCGAGGTTGAGATGGTTTGGTCATGTGAGACGGCGGGATGCTGACGCCCCTGTACGGAGATGCGAGCGGATTACGGTTTTCGGGGGAAGTAGGGGAAGGGGTAGACCTAAGAAGAATTGGGAGGAAGTGATTAGACACGATTTAGGACTTCTCACCCTGACTGAGGATATGGCTTTAGATAGGAACCTTTGGAGAACTAGGATTAGAGTAGCTGGTTAGGAACTCGGTGTTATAGAGGTTTTTTGTAGTGTGTTGTGTTTGATTAGAATCTTCTATTAATGCTTGTAGAACTTTCTTTTCATTGTACTTGGTGTTTTATCCATGCTATACTGTATACCCTATCATATTTTTTGTGCAGGTTGAGCCGGGGTTCTCTTGGAAACAGCCTCCCTGCTTCCAAGTAGGGGCAAGGTCTGCGTACACACACCCTCCCCAGACCCTACTGTAGTGGGATCCAACTGGGTTGTTGTTGTTGTTGTTGTTTGGAAGTCAACAGCCAAAACAGCGATGTAGGGATTTTAGACATCGCTGTTGGCATGACCGTTGTTTCCCATTTTTCAAAACGCAAGCCTAGAACAGCGATGTCCAAGCCTAGGACAGCGCTGTCTGGGTGAATTTCAACAGATCCAATTTTCATCAAATCCCACAAATTGTGCCAATCACCCCTTAAATACTTTGATCCGTTGGAGCCTATTTTCCTACTATAAAATGGGGTGCTTGGGTCTGTTTTACACAATAACATTACTTCACAACTCCTACTCTTTCATTGCAAATCATTCTTCAATTATTCATAGCTTTTGAGAGACATTTTTTGTGAAGCTTGTGTTGTGTGTTGTATTTAGGTGCCCTAGCGGCAATCAAATACCTATGTAACTGTACACTTTATCATGAATGAAAGGCTCTGAAGTATGTTTTATATCTCGTGTAACATAACATAGCTTCAGTCCATAGACGATTTAGCGCTTCAGTAACATAGATGAGGACTACGATGTTCTGATTATGAGACTGTTACTTCTTGACGAAGGCTATGTCTAAAATATCCCTAGTCGCACTTTATGATAATACCGACATCATAATGTATCAAGACTAGTACGTACGAGATGAGATAGTTGCGTCTCATAGACTATAGGTATTGTGATATCTTAATCTGTACGTAGGTGCATATTATATCGATAATATGTGACTGGATTGACCCATCTTGAGAATACTGCATGGATCTACAGTAATGTGTTTATCAGTATTCTCAAATCGACCTTGCTATAACTATCCTCAGACTTGAAGTTATTACATTCTCTGATATGTGGGGCCGTATGCTTTGATTCATAACTAATGCTATCTGAAATACTGGTAGACGTAATGTTATGCGTTGGGTATGCCGCTAAGCATATTTAGAGATGTGAATAACAGATACAGGATCTGTCCCTTCTACTGTATAGAAGTATAATGTCAATGGGCCCACTGAATAGTAGGACTTGGGAAAGTGCATGGTCATGCCCAGATATGTCACTATCTAGAGACTGATAAATATCTGATCCCTGCCAGTCTACTTGAGATTCAGTAACAGCTGATTTAGCTATACAAGGATACACATCCCATGCCTTGTGTTAAATCATGACATTTAGGACAGAAGGATAATAGTTATAGAACGTCTTGTGTCGTAGAAGGTATTGATGAGATGAACGTCTTTTTCATAATCTGGGGATAATAATGTGTTGCTAGATACCGCTTATTATCTATGGTATTAATTTATATTAATATCATTGCGAGTGTTATGGATATCTAAATGGTCACACACTTAGGACTTGTAAGGGAGTAGTATACTACACTAGTGGGAGTAATATTAAATATATAGTTGTGATAATTTTATATATATATGTATTTCGAAAATACATATGTATTTTAAAATTATATTTTGTTTGTGTCATTTTAATTATATGATAATTATATTTTGACAAAACAAATTTTTATTTTATATATATTTAGGGTCGAAATTATATACCTATATATATATTATTTTATTTTTTCATCATTTTAATTATATGATAATTATTGATGTCAAAGTAAAATATAATGTACTTTAATATGAGATGGCCGAAGATTTCAAGAGGAAAATCCAAGACCATTTTGATTTTATACATAAAGTATTTTTAATGTCAAATTGATATATTTGATTATTATTTGATGTAGGGATTCTTTTTTGTTTGGTAGCTAAGATATTAAACATTTACACATGGTGTTAAGACATATACATGGACTTATGCTTAACATTAATTTCCTAGCAATTTCCTAAATATACTTTATTATAAAATGAGGTCTTGATTTGAAAAAAAAAATTCGGCCATCCCATTTTAGAGAGAAGAAAAATCCTATTTTGTGTTCAAAGTTATTTTTCTAAAGTGTTAGAAATATACACAAAATATTATAAAGAAATATTTATAAGATAAATATTTTGCTATATATTTATTACTCCCAAAGTAGTATTATTATAGTTTTTACTATCCTATATTAAACTTGCTAGCACAAGTTTAATCTTGGACTCCGGAGAAAGTTCGTGTGGATACGTTGGAGGCTTCATACGTTTGGCGCTACGTTCATCTCCTCAAAACCATCCCCGACCTTTCCTCCGTTCTCCGTTTTCACCGTTAAGGTAAATTTCTTACTATAGGTAGTAATTTACGTAAGTTGTTCTTGGGTGGAATCGAGTTTTGGACTATAAATTTTTGTTTTCCGCTGCGTTATCCAAGCCTCGTTTCCCAACAGTGGTATCGGAGCCGGCTTACGAAGTTACTAGTTTAGTAGTTTTTACCGTTATTGTTTTTGTAGATTAGTCAATAAATTTTGGAGACAAAAATTTAACCCATTAAAAGTTTAATTAGGTGGCCATATTTAGATACTGGACCTAATATAATTTTGTTCAGTAATTTTCGGAATTACTGTTTGGGGTATTTTTATATTATTCTTATTAAGTAGTTTATGTGTAGAATACTTGTTATTTGTGCCATAAATACTTAATATTTATGAAAATTAGATTTTATTTTTACTGGGAAGTATTTGACATTTCAATATAACTCAGAAATTTTAAAATCGATTTTTGGAATTAATTTCCTATTTTTCTATTTTTAAATTCGTTTATTGAATAGAAAATGGGAAAACTTATTTTTGACGATCACAAATTAATTTTAATTCATAACAAGTTGCGACCAGAGATTTTAAGCTTGTATAAAAAGTTTCATAATTTTTAAACACGTAAAAATATTTATTTTGTATTTTTGAAGTAATTGGATCGGTACTATTCACTAGTCCGATTTTTAATTATTTTAAATTTCAAAATTAATATTTTAAATTCTAGAAAAATCATATTCTGGTTCTGGAACTTATTTTTGACTTGGAAAATAAATTTTGATATTTTTGGAATTTCGAAATATATTTTCACAATATAATTTCGGTTTTCTAGCTTTCAAAAATGGTTTTCAAAATTTTAAATTTTATTCATTCTGGAATTTTAGGATTTCCAGATTAATAAAGTTTACTGGGAGTCTCCAACAATTTTTTTCTAATTTAGAAAACATATATATATTTAATTCGAAATAAAAGCCCTTTTTCGAATTTAAATATATATAAATACGGTAAATATAAAATATATTTTTTTCTGGAATTTAGAAAATCAAATTTCTAACATTCTAGAAATTTAAAGTATTTTATGATTTTTAATTAAATTACTTGCTAGTTTAATTAATTTATTGTTGATAGTTTATTCCGTAGAATAGAATAAACTAGGTCTGGGGCGAGCGCGGTTCGCCCGGTGTATGCTTTAATATGTATGATGTGATGCATGTGATGCTTGTATGTATTATTGCATGGTGGATGATTGTGGCTTAGTTATATTTGTTGTAATTTTAAATACGGCCTGCGTGTCGTGCCTCATCTCTATACTCTGGATGTAATTCTCTTCTTTACCTCAAATATTCTTTTCTCTCGAAAATTATAAGAAGATAAGAAGACGAAGTCCGTTCGTGATAGAGAATCCTAAGGAAGACGT